TCTCTCTCTCTCTCTCTCTCTCTCTCTCTCTCACACACACACACACACACACTCACACACTCACGCACACACACACACACACACACACACACACACACAGAGAGTGTTCTCTGCATTAACCTCTTAGTTTATCTCCGACACTGAGAGAGAGATCAGGATTAGAACATTGTGAGAAATTGGTTTTGGGTCCTTGTCTCTGCGGTGTCATTATTAACGTGCACACACACACACACACACACACACACACACACAGTTGCTCTTCTCTCTCTAGGAGGGATTCCCTGGTGTTCAGTGTCAGGCTGAAGTGTGCGTGTGTGCGCGAGTGTGTGTGTGTGTGTGTGTGTGTGTGTGCGTGCGTGCGTGCGAGCGTGCGTGTGTGTGTGTGTGTGTGTGTGTGCTCAGCAGGATTGTGACTTTGTGTTTTACCCCAGAGCAGAGCTGCTGTGAGCTGGAGACAGGTTGAGGTTCCTGTAAGGTTAAACCCAGCAAACAAAACTATATTCTAAGAACGTTTTGCCATCGTTCCCGTTGAGTTATGAAAACGTTATTTCTGAGTGTTCACTGAACGTTCAAAACATCCCGTTTTTAAAATAATAATAAAATAAAAAAATATTGGTAATGCAAAAGTTATGGAAATATTCATTTTTGTCACTCTGTCAACGTTATAGGAACTTTACTTTTGAATGAAACAATTTAGGACATTTTTTAAAAGTTAGACTTACATCCAACTAAAACATTTCAGGAAAAAAAAACATTCCATGAATGATGTATAATAATAAATAAGATTATGAGAATGTTCGCTGTTCGCTGGGAAGTCACTTCCAGTTGATTTTCTAGTAGGCTATAATATAAAATATTAGTCAGATTTGAAAAATGGTTAACTAATAAACACAGAGATGTGTTTCAGGAGATATTTGTGACTATACACTCTAATATAATCTTCTGTTCATAATCACATTCAGAGACAAGCTTTTTTTCTGTCGCTTGTGTTTGTTCATGATAGACATTGAAGGGAAATATCTAATCTGTGTAAAGATAAAGAGTTACAGTAACACTTTATAATACCGTTCCTTCATTAATGAATAACTATACAGGAACAAATGAGTAACGCACTATTAACTAACCAGAAACTCTGATTAACAAAATAGTAAGTAATATAGTTCTTAGTAGTTAGTAAAAAAATAGTAGTTACTGATAGCTAATAGTGAACTACTATTTTTTTACTAACTACTAAGAACTATATACAGGTTCATAATTAACATGAATAATGCATAATTTATGACATAAGGTGATAGTAACCCACTAGTAATGACTCAAGTGTTACTACATCCTTCTAAAGGAACGAGTAATTGTGAAAAAGAGTGAAAAACATGATAATATTGACTGACGTCATTGTAAGCTTTTGAGATTTCTGTAAGATTTTGAATAGTAATTCCTTCCGATGGATTTGGTAACACTTGAGTCATTACCATGGTTACCATTACCTTAAATGATACATTATGCATTATTAACATTAATTATGAATCTGTATATAGTAGTTCTTAGTAGTCTTCAGTGAGGTATGAAAAATAGTAGTTACTGATTAGCTAATAGTGAACCTCATTCAACTGAGCGGATTATTTGTGTGCGAATGAATATAAGAGAGGATCTGACGAAAGGTTAGTCTGTAGTTGTTATAACCAGCTTTGTGTAAAAACCACCAGAAGACTATAGTCACCGTGTGCAGTTCGTGTGCGCCCCCTTCTGCTCTGACTGTGAACTGCACTTCTAGTTAAAACAGTGGCACTGAAAACATCAAAAACACTTACAGCCTAAAATCAGTGCAAACAACAACAGTCCTCGCAGCTATGAGCGACTTCTCCTGCTCGTGGATGCGTCTGTCATGTTTCAAAACACTTTCTTAAGCAAGTTAAGTTGATTTAAACGCATGAATTTTCAAATGGCTGTTCATTTTGTGAATGTTCTGCTAAAGAAAAGAAAAAGGCTAATATTAAACTTCTGTATAGGAAGTCATTAGTGAGAATTTCTAACAAGATATCTGACAAAATGATTTATTTTAAACTTTAAAAAATATATGGAGTGTCGTCCTGGTGAAGGTGTGAAAATCAGAACACTTCTGTAACAGGTCGTCATGGTGATGTTGTCAGGAGTAACGTGTCGTTATGGTGTGTGTGAGTCAAAAAGTGAGAGCTGCGGTAAAAGGTGGATAAGGGGATTGGGGTCAATAGTGAGGGGTCGTTATGGTGACACTGTCAGGAGTGAGGGGTCGTTATGGTGACACTATCAGGAGTGAGGGGTCGTCATGGTAACGCTGTCAGGAGTGAGGGGTCGTTATGGTGACACTATCAGGAGTGGGGGGTCATCTTGGTGCTGTCAGGAGTGAGGGGTCGTCATGGTGACACTGTCAATAGTGAGGGGCCGTTATAGTGACACTGTCAATAGTGAGGGGTCGTTATGGTGACACTGTCAGGAGTGAGGGGTCGTTATGGTGACACTATCAGGAGTGAGGGGTCGTCATGGTAACGCTGTCAGGAGTGAGGGGTCGTTATGGTGACACTATCAGGAGTGGGGGGTCATCTTGGTGCTGTCAGGAGTGAGGGGTCGTCATGGTGACACTGTCAGGAGTGAGGGGTCGTTATGGTGACACTATCAGGAGTGAGGGGTCGTCATGGTAACGCTGTCAGGAGTGAGGGGTCGTTATGGTGACACTATCAGGAGTGGGGGGTCATCTTGGTGCTGTCAGGAGTGAGGGGTCGTCATGGTGACACTGTCAATAGTGAGGGGTCGTTATAGTGACACTGTCAATAGTGAGGGGTCGTTATGGTGACACTGTCAGGAGTGTGGGGTCGTTATGGTGACACTGTCAGAGTGAGGGGTCGTCATGGTAAAGCTGTCAGGAGTGAGGGGTCGTTATGGTGACACTATCAGGAGTGGGGGGTCATCTTGGTGCTGTCAGGAGTGAGGGGTCGTCATGGTGACACTGTCAATAGTGAGGGGTCGTTATAGTGACACTGTCAATAGTGAGGGGTCGTTATGGTGACACTGTCAGGAGTGAGGGGTCGTTATGGTGACACTATCAGGAGTGAGGGGTCGTCATGGTAACGCTGTCAGGAGTGAGGGGTCGTTATGGTGACACTATCAGGAGTGGGGGGTCATCTTGGTGCTGTCAGGAGTGAGGGGTCGTCATGGTGACACTGTCAATAGTGAGGGGTCGTTATGGTGACACTGTCAGGAGTGTGGGGTCGTTATGGTGACTGTCAGAGTGAGGGGTCGTCATGGTGACACTGTCAGGAGTGAGGGGTCGTCATGGTGACGCTGTCAATAGTGAAGGGTCGTTATGGTGACACTATCAGGAGTGAGGGATCGTTATGGTGACACTGTCAGGAGTGAGGGGTCGTTATGGTGACACTATCAGGAGTGAGGGGTCGTCATGGTGACACTGTCAGGAGTGAGGGGTCGTCATGGTGACGCTGTAAATAGTGAAGGGTCGTTATGGTGACACTATCAGGAGTGAGGGGTCGTCATGGTGACGCTGTAAATAGTGAAGGGTCGTTATGGTGACACTATCAGGAGTGAGGGGTCGTCATGGTGACACTGTCAGGAGTGAGGGGTCATTATGGTGACGCTGTAAATAGTGAAGGGTCGTTATGGTGACACTATCAGGAGTGAGGGGTCGTCATGGTGACGCTGTAAATAGTGAAGGGTCGTTATGGTGACACTATCAGGAGTGAGGGGTCGTCATGGTGACACTGTCAGGAGTGAGGGGTCGTCATGGTGACGCTGTAAATAGTGAAGGGTCGTTATGGTGACACTATCAGGAGTGAGGGGTCGTCATGGTGACACTGTCAGGAGTGAGGGGTCATTATGGTGACGCTGTAAATAGTGAAGGGTCGTTATGGTGACACTATCAGGAGTGAGGGGTCGTTATGGTGACACTGTCAGGAGTGAGGGGTCGTCATGGTGACGCTGTAAATAGTGAAGGGTCGTTATGGTGACACTATCAGGAGTGAGGGGTCGTCATGGTGACGCTGTAAATAGTGAAGGGTCGTTATGGTGACACTGTCAGGAGTGAGGGGTCGTCATGGTGACACTGTCAGGAGTGAGGGGTCATTATGGTGACACTGTCAGATGTGAAGGGTCGTAATGGTGACGCTGTCATGAGTGAGGGGTCGTCATGGTGACGCTGTCAGGAGTGAGAGGTCGTCATGGTGAGCCTGTCAGGAGTGAGGGGTCGTCATGGTGACGCCGTCAGGATGAGAGCGGAAATCTTAAAGGTGAAAAGGTTAAGCTTCAAATTCAATAATACACAATACAAATAATAATGAGAAACTACATTATTATTTGAACAAATCAGACTCAAATAAAGTATCATATAAGAACACGTATAGACACAAATATTTAACTGGCACCGGTCTTCATTAACAAAGAGTTGTAATGAATTAGCTGTTTGTAAGTATGCTGAGGAATGTAATTCTTTATCTTCACACAGATTAGATATTTCCCCTGAACTACTGTCAAGGACAAAGACACGAGAAAAAGCTCTTTCAGAAGGACGTTGATAACTTATTAACAAGGTCAGTAATGATAGTGAAATTAGTGAGTTACAGTAAGATCTGCTCTCTGGTCATGCATTGATAAGTGCAATGATAACACATTTCATTAAGTTCATAGGACACCTGTGTGAACTTGAGGAGAGCTCTATACATCCACTAAAAATCACCAAAACACCAGTCGACTAAAAAAAATTGATTCAGAAGAAAAAAAGCAAAGTAGTGACAAGAAATGATCCTGCAGCATTTAAACAAATGACATGCACTACCGATCAAAGGTTTGTGGTTGATAAGATTTTTGAAAATATGTTACTGCAAAAAGCAATCACACTTTCTTGAATCTATGTGTCTGTGTGTAATTCAAGACTCAGTAAAAAACTGCAAACCGGCAAATCAAAAGAGATAAGATAACCAGATGAAACTTTGGCCGGCAGAGACGCGCAGCGAGAGTGAGTAAAAGAGGTTGAGCCGGAGAACCGAACGCAATCTGATTGTGTCACAGAGACGGTGAACACCTGAACACAATCTGCTCTGATCATGCTGTGGACGCCGGTTCTCTGTCTGTGTTTGTGTGTTCAGTCTCTGGCGGTCCCCGTTCCAGCGCCCCGGGCCACTGAGCACAGAAAACTGCTGCTGGTCTCCTTCGATGGCTTCAGGTGGGACTACGACAGGGACGTGGACACGCCGCACCTGGACGCCATGGCGAAGGATGGGGTCAAAGCCACATACGTGACCCCTTCGTTCCTCACTATCACCAGCCCGACACACTTCACCATCCTCACAGGTACAATTCAACACATATGAAGCAATGCCCATATTAGGGCTGTCAAAATTAACGCGTTAACACATGCGATTATTTTTTGCAGTGTACGCGTTAAAAGCATTCATTTTTTTACTATCTGTCATTCAAGTGCTATTAAACCATTCAAGCACGATAAGATGCAAAAAAAAAGAAGAAATTAAATCTGGACTGTCGCTTGTGTGTGTATCTCCTGTCTGTCTGACACACACAACTCATGTGCACGGAAAGCCGCCTCAGACAGCGTTTGAATAGACAAAAACACAAAAGTACGCCAAAACACCCGCTTTGCCGAGTATCCTTGTAAGCAGAGTCTTAAATGAGTTAAATAAAGTCTTAAATGACCGTTAAGAGTTGTGAGAAAATAGGATGTGTGTCATATTATGTTTGTCTTAAAGTGACAGCAGCCTAAAAAATATGCCGCTCTGCCATTTATGTTAATCAAAGAACAAAAGAAAAAGAGAAAATCATTCACTGCTCTTGACTGAATAACTTTTGTAGCTTTAATAAGGATTAATTCAATTCAATTCACATTTATTTGTATAGCGCTTTTCACAATACACATCGTTTCAAAGCAGCTTTACAGAAAAGTCCACATTACAATTTAGAGTGATTGTTATCAGAGGAAACTGTCTAAGTTATGCATTTCAGAAATGTACGTATACAAATCACACAAATCACATATACAAATTAGCTGTAAAATTTAAGGCAGAAACAATGAGCTCATTGAAGTTGAATACATTAATCTACATTTAGTTTATAATTTATGCATTGAAGTCTGTGAAGTGTTTGATAACTTTGATATTGAATATTCAATTTTGATATTTGATATTCAATGTCTGTATATATCCTACATGTTAGATCAAATGATTAAAATAACTGTCTTATGTTGTTTCTACATTAATTTGGAGATTGTGAAATTACTACAATATAAAAATATATTAAAAACTGTAATGTTAGATGCAATTAATCGCGATCAATTACAGGAAAATGTGTGATTAATTAGTTAATTTTTTTAATTGACACAGCGCTAATATACTGTATATATATATATATATATATATATATATATATATTTGTGCTGTCAGTTGATTAAAAATATTATATATATACAGTATATATATATATATATATATATATATATATATATAACATTTAATTTAATTCATAATTAATTCTAATCATTAAATTAATTCTTCAAAATTAATTATCATTATATAAATAGCTTTAAATATATGCATTTAATATTTATGTCCATCCATCCAGATGAAACAAGGCAATAATGAATACTTATATCCATAAATATGTATACATTTAGTGTGTATATATACACTTTTCAAAGATGTAAATAAAACAAATTATACTTTTTTTACGAGTGACAATTATTTGAAAGTAAATCCTACACTAATCTTCTTGTAATGTCTATAAGTATGATTGATGAGAAAGTATCTTTCTGCAGGGAAATATATAGAGAATCACGGTGTAATTCACAACATGTGGTTTAACACCAGCACCTGGGAGAAGAAGTCCTACTACAAGTCCCAGTTTGTGAACGAGTGGTGGGACAGTGGAAGTGTGCCCATATGGATCACGGCTCAGAGACAGGTACTCGCACACCAGCAGGACCGGCCCAAGTCGCCGCACTGGTTAGGGTTAAACGGTGTGCACTAGCAGTGTGCATGTATTCCAGTCTGAACATAGCCTTTGTCTTAATAACATAACATAACATAATGTAATGTAATGTAATGTAATGTAATGTAATGTAATGTAATGTAATGTAATGTATTATAATATAATATAATATAATATAATATAATATAATATAATATAATATAATATATATTATAGTATAGTATAATATAATATAATATAATATAATATAATATAGTATAATATAATATAATATAATATAATATAGTATAATATAATATAATATAATATAATATAATATAATATAATATAATATAATATAATGTGATAGAAAATGTACTGTACTACACATGTTAAATGTAGTCAAATGTAACTGTAAATACTTCTAGACTTTATAATGAAAAAAAACTGATTTCAAAAGTATTCTGAATAAATATTGTGCTGTGTCTGGGGTTGGTTAGGGAGGACCATTTCAAATTGACTTGCTCTCTTGCAAGACACGTATTTCCCACAAGCGGCCCGTCTGCTAATGATCCGCAACACTTCACTTTGAATCATCCCGAACACCTCATTTCATTTCCTCCAGTAACCTCTACATATAAAGCCAGACACACAGGAGATTCGACCAAATTAATCGCAGAAAATGAGTCAAAACAATTATTTCCAGCTCAGAAACTCGAAATCTCAGATGATGATTTGCTCACAGTAATACATAATACTACTAGTGAAAAAAGTCGGTAAAAATACAGACTGGTTCAAACCCTTAGAAAGGGTGATGCATGAACAACCAGCATGAATTTAAAGAACATTTCTATCATCATTCACTACCTCTCATGTCCCACTAAACCAATGACTTTCTTTTTTTTCTTTCTGTGGAACAAAAAATTGTGTTTTAAAGCATCTCAGATCTTCTCTTGTTCATGCAATGCATGCATGACCGAGGTCTGTCGAGCTCCAAACAATGACCATTAATGCAGCATAAAGAAATATACATGACTTGTCAAGTTGCGGATGTGGATGCATGGATGAGGTTTTTGGAGCTTCTGCTTTTACTTTATGAAAAAAATAACTGTAAAAAATAAAACCGCAATTTTTACGGTAAAAAACCGGCAGCTGTGGTTACCAGACCTTTACCGTCAAAAATACGGTAGCAACGTTATTGGTTTTACAGACTTAACTTAAAATTTACAGTAATAAACCATATTTCATTATCTGATACAATGTTAATTTACCAACCTATTGTAGTATTAATATCTGTTATGTACCATTGTAATACACTGACAACCAACAACCATCACAGCAGTGATGAAAGTCACATGATCAATCAAAGCTCATCACAAGCAACTCATCCACAAGACTATTAATACATATATAAAGAAGCTGCACAGTGTCATTCACACAAACATTAAACACCATCATGGTAACACACATTACATTTTAAAAATGCAATAAACACTAATTTAACAACATTAAATGTAACATAAAACCCTAATGTACATAACTGATTAGAAAAAAAAAACAAGAAAACTATGAGGAAACATAGTTATTTCAACAAAAATTCATAAAATGTGAAGTGTCACACAGGGAATTGTGGGAATGTCAATTTACAGTTTTTCACTGTAAATTATACGATGAGTTGTTCTTTTTCACTTTCAAAAACTGTAAATTTAACGGTATTTTACATTAAATGTACCATGAGATCTATCACTGTTATTTACCGTATATAGTACGGAAACTTTCTGTTAACCAATTAAAACAATTTGCACTGTAGCATTTTTACAGTCTTTTACCGTTAAAATCACGATTATTTTTTTACAGTAGTTTTGTGTAGACGTACAGAATTAAAAAGAGACATGAGAGTAAATAAAGCTAGTTTTCTGCTTTTCTCTTAGAGTTGCATTGGTAAAAGAAGCATTTGCTGAATAAATATAATTGATTTTCCCGCCCCCCCCAAAAAAGGGTCTGAAAGCCGGTTCCCTCCACTTTCCTGGAACAGCATCCACTTATCAGGGAGAAAGTGCTGTTGTGAGAGAAGTGGAGCCGGAAAACTACAACTACAGCAATGAAACGGCCTGGCGAGAGAACATAGATAAAGTGATGGAGTCCTGGTTCAGAGGGCAGGACCTGGACTTTGTGTCCATGTACTTCGGAGAGCCCGACGCCACGGGCTCTCCCGAGCGCAGGGCGATGGTCCGGCAGGTGGACCGGGCCGTGGGATACCTGAGGAGCTCGGCTGAGAGACACGGCCTGAGCGAGAGCCTCAACATCATCATCACGGCCGATCACGGCATGAGCACCGTCTACAGGAACGGCCTGGTGGAGGAGATCGTGCTCTCCAAGATCCCAGGCTTCTCTTTTGGAGATCTGTCCTTCCATATTGTGGACTTCGGACCGGTGGGACTTCTGCTTCCCAAAGAAGGGAGACTCGATAAAGTGTACAACGCACTGAAAGGCGCTCATCAGCATCTCCACGTCTATAAGAAAGAGGAGATGCCCGCTCGCCTGCACTTCTCCCAGAACGAGCGCATACTACCCATCATCCTCTGGGCCGATCTAGGATACGTCATCAATGGGGTGAGAGACTGTCGTTTATAAAAAGACGTGAAAGCGTAATGCGAGTTTGTCAAGGAATCAAAAAGACCGTTCTCAAGCACACTTGGGTGAATTTTCAGCTCAAAATTAAAAGAAAGAACAAGAAAAAGAAGTAGTTATATTGCAGATAAAGCATGTTTTAGGTATCGGTTATGAGTTTTGCATTGTGACATTATATTCGTGATTTTTAAGCACATTTTCCTCGGAGGCGCCAGCAACATGAAGGTCACGGATTCGATTCCCGGTGAATGCATGAACTGATAAAAACGTAAACGTTGAATGCAATGCAAGTCACTTTGGATAAAAGCATCTGCCAAAAGTGTAATTCTCATTATTCTCAGTGGTGATATTGCATTACGTTAATGAAAACTGAGGGTTAAATGTACAAAATCAGCATAAAAATAATGTACTAATATCCCAAAACATGAATCAATATGGATGGATGGATGGATGGATGGATGGATGGATGGATATATGGATGGATTGATGGATGGATGGATATATGGATGGATAGATATATGGATGGATGGATGGATGATGGATGGATGGACGGATATTTGGATGGATGGATGGATGGATGGATGGTTATATGGATGGATGGATGGATGGACGGATGGATGGACGGATATTTGGATGGATGGATGGGCGGATGGATGGGTATATGGATGGATGGATGGATATATAGATGGACGGATGGATACATGGATGGATGGATGGATATATGGATATATGGATATATGGATGGGTGGATGGGCGGATGGATGGATGATATATGGATGGATGGATGAATAGGCGGATGGATAGATGAATAGGCGGATGGATGGATATATGGATGGATATATGGATGGATGGATGGATGGATATATGGATGGATGGATGGATTATGGATGGATGGAATGATGGATGGATGGATGGATGGATATATGGATGGATGGATGGATATATGGATGGATGGATGGATGGATATATGGATGGATGGAATGATGGATGGATGGATGGATATATGGATGGATGGATGGATGGATATATGGATGGATGGAATGATGGATGGATGGATGGATATATGGATGGATGGATGGATATATGGATGGATGGATGGATGGATTATGGATGGATGGAATGATGGATGGATATATGGATGGATGGATGGATGGATGGATGGATGGATGGATGGATGGATGGATATATGGATGGATGGATGGATAGATGGATGGATGGATGGATGGATGGATGGATGGATATATGGATGGATGGATATATGGATGGATGGATGGATGGATGGATGGATGGAATGATGGATGGATAGATATATGGATGGATGGATGGATGGATGGATGGATGGATATATGGATGGATGGATGGATGGATGGATGGATGGATGGATGGATGGATATATGGATGGATGGATATATGGATGGATGGATGGATGGATGGATGGATGGAATGATGGATGGATAGATATATGGATGGATGGATATATGAATGATTGAATGAATGAATGAATGAATGAATGAATGAATGAAACTGCCCTCCTGTTAACTTGATCGACATATTAATCTATGATATTTGAGTGCATATCTGAGGGAATGTCACTAAACCTTTTTAGAAATCACCCTAAATCAACAGAAATAAACAATTCATAATAAATAAGAAGTTATACTTTACATAAAGAAAACAAAGCCTATATAGGAACATTGAGAGATTTTACACTGTGATATTATTTTAATGACAATTTACCATATTTACTCCCCAATTCCACATGCAAAAAAATATTAATAATACTTATTTTACCAACAGGTCTTTTTATAATTAATATTTTCATAATGTTGACCAACAGTCCAAAATAGACATTATTTCCTTTTTTTTTCACCTGACCAAGGACATGCTTTCATGAGAAATATATAAACATGCACATAAACAATAAACACGCAAAAGTTTCTTCCTTGAAGACTGAAAATATTGTTTTAGTACCATTGAGATGCTCTTATAGTTTTTATTAATATTTTGAATTATTTTTAATATTTTCTGTTACATTTTAGTTGA